ACAGCACAGGTTAGGGAACATGATGCTACCCTGAACAGTAAGAATGCATTATCCATATTCCTGGGTTATCAATTGCAACAGCACTTATGGGTAATACTCAAACCTTCGGACACCAGACACTGCCAATCATTGTAGTAATATAGTTTATGTGTAGCCAAGAGCGGGAAAAACGTCTTAAGCAAAACAGGTCACTCAGACATCCAAGTAGTAATGTTTAACAAGAGTATTTGTGGAAAACTAGCAGGGTTATTCACAATAGTGAGAATTTTTATTCAAGGTCAGAGTAGCCGAACTGCAAGCATTGACCTTAACTCCTTAGTGACCATGCCGCTTTTCAATTTTCTCACCGTTAAGGACCAGGCAGTGGCGTACACACGACCCATTGATCCGTGGGCTCCACTCCCTGCGCGGGCCGGGGCCACAACACATGGCGGCAGGCACCTGGTCGCAGGGTTACGACCCCTGCGACCACGGTTTGTACGCCAGTGCATGCAGATACACACACACACTTAAAGGACCACTACAGACACCCAGATCACATCAGCTCAATTAAGTGGTCTGGGTGCCAGGTCCCTCTAGTTTTAACCCTGCAGCTGAACACATAGCAGTTTCAGAGAAACTGCTATGTTTCACTGAGGGTTAATCCAGCCTCTAGTGGCTGTCTCACTGACAGCCGCTAGAGGCGCTTCCGCGATTCTCACTGTGAAAATCACAGTGAGAAGACGCTGGACGTCCATAGGAAAGCATTGAGTAATGCTTTCCTATGGGCGGTTTGAATGTGCGCACGGCTCTTGCCACGCATGCACATTTGGAGCTGAGAGGTGGATCGGGGCGGAGGGATCCCCAGCACCAAGGGAGTCCGGCGATGGAGAAAGGTAAGTGCTGAAGGGGTTTTAAACACACACACTTTCTCACGAACAGACGCATACACACTAGCTAACAGACACACATTTACTGACAGAGACACACTCACTTACAAAACATACACTCTCACTGACAAACACACATTCACTAACAGACATCAAACAAACTAACACACTCAGTAACAGACACACAAACTAACACACACACAGTAACACACACACTAACACAAAAACTAACACTAACACACATTTTTTTTAAACTTGATCCCCCAACCTCCCTACCTTTGGGAGTGCTGATGGGATTCCCTTGGGTCCAGTGATGCTGCTGGGCGGCCGGTCCTACGGGCGCGCGAGGGAGCACTGAGATCCTCCTGTTCAGCTCCCTTGCACGCCGCTTACTGATGCCGGAGGGATCAGTGCGATGCGCGAGGGAGGTGGGCAGAGAGCGCTCAAGGGAGAGTGCTCCCTCGCGTGCTCCCAGACCGGTGACACCAGGTCCAGCCTCGGGGGGCCCTGAGGTGGCCAGCTCCTGGGCCCCCCAGGAGAAGAGGCTGGCGTACATATCGGGTCGCAGGGCGACCATGTATGTACGCCACTGGGACCAGGGCTCTTTTTACATTTCTGCGGTGTTTGTGTTTAGCTGTAATTTTCCTCTTACTCATTTACTGTACCCACACACATTATATACCATTTTTCTCACCATTAAATGGTCTTTCTAAAGATATCATTATTTTCATCAAATCATATAATTTACTATAAAAAAATTTATAAAATATGATTCAATTTTTTAAAAACACACTTTTTCTAACATTGACCCCCAAAATCTGTTACACATCTACAACCGCCAAAAAAACACCTGTGCTAAGAAGTTTCTAAATTGTGTGCTGAGTTTATAAATACTCAATGTTAACATGTTCTTAGTTTTTTTTTTGCAAGTTATAGGGCTATACGTACAAGTAGGACATTGCTGTTTTAAAATATATATTGTTAAAATGTATCAATAGGGATATTGTAACACTGTTATCTGTCATAAATCTCTGATTCACACCTCACATGTACATATTTTTTTTAAAGTAGACAACCCAGGGTATTCAATATGGCGTATGTCCAGTCTTTTTTAGTAGCCACTTAGTCACACACTTGCCAAAGTTAGCATTTATATTTGTTTGTGTGTTAAAAATGCAAAGTGTGGCCAGTGTATCACAACAATGAAATAATCGGTGAAAGTGCCGTTTGTGTGTGAAAAATGCAAAAACTTCACTTTTACTGACAATGTCATCGCTGTGATATGTTTTACTGTTTTGAAACACTAATATTTGTGTTCAGTGAAGTCTACCAAGTAAAACAGTACCCTCCATGTACAGGTTTTAAGGTGTCTTGGAAAGTTACAGGGTTAAATATAGTGCTAGCAAATTAAAGTCTCTGGACTTTTGGCCTGGCTGGTTAGGCAGGTCCCCTAAATTGCAATCAATAAAATGATCTAATTATGTAAAAATATTACATAAATATGCACGTAGATAAATTACGTAAATATACATATTTATATATTTGAAGTCTACGTGTATATTTATGAAATTATTTATATGGACATATGTATATTTTGTATTATTTTTATTTATTTATATATACATAGATATAGCTATAATTTCATTCTAAGTGTATTTTGATATAAATATATCTATGTATATATTAATATCAAAATACAGTTAGAATAAAATTACACACACATATATATATATATATATATATATATAAATTTTTTTAAATGATTCAAATTTTTTAAATTTATTTATTTTTAATTTTTTTTATTTATTTTTAATTATGTATTTTTTATAATTATATATATTTTATATTAATATTTGTATATATTAATAAAAAATAAACTTAGTATGAGGTTATATATAAGATATATGTATATATATATATATACATATTATATATAGATATATTTGTACATATATATATATATCTCATATATACATATATATATTTTTTTATTTATTAACTTTATTTTTAAACTTTTTTTCATCAGCAGGGGGACTGCCTGTCAGTTCAGGTAGTCCCCTGCAGGCAACACTATGGACGCCTATTGCGGCCATGTGACCACTATTTCAGACAGATAGGAAGACCGATCGCCGACGGGGGAATGGATTATTAGTTATAAAAATGTTTTTCTTTTATTAATTTTACTGAGTGCCTCAACTCGACTCAGTAGACAGGGAGAGCATCGGAAGCCTTACTGCCGGGCACCACATGGAGCAAGCCGGAAGTAATCGCTGTCAGGGGGGTATTGCAGGATGCCTCGACATCGAGGCATCACTGCAATACCCTTAGAGCAGCTGAAAGGGATTATGATCGCTGCCAGCGCTCATATTTGCCGCGGACATACAGGGTATGTCAGAGGTTGTTACCAACATTTTTTGTCTGACGTAGCCTGTACGTCTGCGGTCACTAAGGGGTTAAAGGAACACTAAAGTACTAGGAATACAAACCTGTCCCTAGTAAATTATTGGTGCCCTCCACAGTTCCTGACTGATTCCTCTTCTGCAACTGTCACTAGTCTAATACTATCCTTACCCTTTTGTGTAATTTTACCCCACTCCCTCTAGCATGTAAGCTCATTGAGCAGGGCACTCAACCCCTCTGTTCCTGTGTGTTCAACTTGTCTGGTTACAACTTCATGTCTGTTCGTCCACCCATTGTAAAGCGCTGCGGGATTTGATGGCACTATATAAATAACATAATAATAAAAAAGTATATAAAATAGATGGTTTACCTACATTTTTCCAGCGCCACGTCGCCGCCTACCACAATGTCATGGAAGAGGAATGGCCTCCTCTGCGGTCGTCCAATCAAATGAGGATGAGCATGCTTGGCAAACACCGCATGTCATCTAAACTTCCCCATGGCAAAGCATTGAAACAATGCTTTCTTGTGGGGGCTACTGAGTCACGTGACAGTTTTACTCGGAAGAGCTTCTAGTGCCTGTCAGTATGGACTTTATTAAGGAAAGTGAATTTCAAATTTAAACGATGTAGGTTGCTGCCATACAAATCTTCTCAAATTAAGGAAGAAGGGGTTTGCATAAGTTTCCAACAAGAACACTGCAATATTCGCAAGTTATAAGATATACCCAAATAAATTTAAAAAAAGTTATAATTACATGAATGCATGTTTTCATTAGGATATATACAGCAATTGTGGTTTTTTTTTTGTTTTTTTTAGGCAGTGGAGTGTCCTTTTAAGAAAACAAACTTAATGACACTGTAGGCACAATAATACATCTCGCTGAATTAATCAGAATGACTGGAGTCCTTTGGTCCATTCAGTGTTAAAGGGGACAATGGTGCCTTGACACCCACAACACAGCCTCTACTGGTGGTATGGCCAATATTACACGTATCCTAGCTCTCAGCCAATCACAGCTGCCAAAGGCTGCTCGAGGTAATGCTTCCTCATTTGCCAAAGTCGCACAGAGGGATGAGTTGCTGGGGATTTTAGCATTAAAACATTCATTTACAAACTGTTTAAGACTGAAAGGGGATGGTGGCATCAGGGATTCCAGACACTACAAGCACTTCAACAAGATTAAGCAGTTACCAAGTCTATAGTGTCCCTTTAAAACCCAATGCTTTTCTGAAGGAGTTGGCTTAAGGACCATTGCTTTACTAAAGCATTGTACTGAATCAAATTGCTGAGTTATACTGTATATTCATATTGCCCTAACAGTGACACAAGACAATTTACACATTGGCTTTATATAAACTGAAACAGTGTGAAATATTTTTTTTGCACTTCCAAAAATCAAGACCCTTCTTCACATTCAAACATGTCTGACTGTAAAGGAATGCATAATCTCCATGGATCCTTTAGAACTAGTCAAATAAAGGTACTGTCCATGTCCAGGTTGAAGAGTCTGAATGTCAGATTTTGCTCTAGCTAGCAACTTGTTCATTGTCTGGTTGTTCAGTTGACTGAGACAGTGAATAGACTATCATTGGCATCAGGCTACTCCTGTTCAAGAATGGAAGCACTGCAGGTGTTTAACCTCTTAAGGACCAAACTTCTGGAATAATGACATGTCACACATGTCATGTGTCCCTAAGGGGTTAAAAAGGACCTAAGTAAATGTCAGTGGTGTGATTCTTGTGAAAGCAAGGTATATTTATAAGCCTGGAAACAGATAAATCAAGTGCATCAGTTAATGGATCAGAAGGAGAGCACCTTGTTCTTCCAGCTACTGCAAATGTAGTTTTAGGATCCTTACAGGTATAATTGCCACATTTTATAAACATTAACAATTGACTGTATTAAACTGGTTTCAGTTCTGCCTAATCTTTCCATTAAGAGTTTTTGTAAAACATGCTAGAATAGGGATATGAGTGAATGTAAGCAATATTTGTTAACCATTAGTTTCCAAGTTTAGAATTCCTAGTTTCTGTTGTGCTGGAACAGGATAACCTAGCCGCATTTCCATTTCGTATGGTAATAAAAAAAATTCAGGGTAATAAGCCAGTCCCTATATCTGCTTTTTCCTTGTTCAAGTCACTGTGAAACAGCTAGCCACTGCAGGGTGAACGGTCAAGAACACAGTTAATCATTTCAAGCACAAATAGTTGAATTGGGGGGGAAGTTAAGGAAGTTGTCCAAGTCTGCCATTACAAATACAATTTTCCCATTTACAGATTTAAAAACAAAAACCAAAAACAGTTATGTTCACTTACATAGCACTACATCTGTTACTGTTCAACATTTTCATTAATAATATTCCAGATAAAAACTAGTCATTTTTATCCAGTAAGCACTAATGTTTGGAGAAAGCAGATGCTATAGGTTATGACTGCTTAATTTCAACAGAAGGAAGGCAATAGCCAATTTAAAGGACCACTCTAGGCACCCAGACCACTTCAGCTTAATGAAGGGGTCTGGGTGCCACCTCGCTCTAGGATTAACTTTTTTTTTTATAAACATAGTTTCAGAGAAACTGCTATGTTTATAATAGGGTTAATCCAGCCTCTAGTGGCTGTCTCACTGACAGCCGCTAGAGACGTTTGCGTGCTTCTCACTGAAAACCAGTGAGAAGACGCCAGCATCCATAGGAAAGCATTATGAATGCTTTCCTATGAGACTGGCTGAATGCACGTGCAGCACATGCGCATTCAGCCAGAGAGGGGGAGGGGAGGAGGCGGATGAGAGCTCCCCGCCCAGCCCTGAAAAGAGAGGTAAGATTTAACCCTTTCCTCGCCATCCAGCCCGGCGGGAGTGGGACCCTGAGGGTGGGGGCACCCTCAGGGCACTAGAGTGGTCCTTTAACAGATCTACTCCTTCAACTTCAGGGGTTTCTAAACACGTTTGAATTATAAATTACACAATTTGCAGAGATAACAGTAAAACAGTCTATTTTGTAAAAAAAAAAAAGTTGTTACAACATCTTTCGAAAGCTCAGTAGCACAGACAATGCCAGTATTGCACTCTGAAATAGTTTTAAGACTGAAGGGACCAAGTGGCAACACTTCAGCAAAGGATCTATCACCACTTTTGATACTGCAGTCTCATTACTTCCTTAGATATGTGCCCAAGAATGCAGAACAGACAAAACTCATGCAAATTTGTCAACTGACCAATATAATCAATGGAAGTTCTAACAGAATTTTTCATGTTATATTTGGCCATCTAGAAAGGGCAAACTTCTGCTCCAGATGTATTAGTGAAAATTACAGTGGACTGGTCTCCTTTGATGTTTGCCCTAGTGCAGGTGTTCCCAATATTTTTTCCTGTGGAACCCTTTCACATGTATACCAACATCATGGAACTCCTGTAAAAAAAATTTGCACTGTAGCACAAACCTTTTAATAAGTGGCTTTATCATTTTCAAATTAGTTTTATGATACTCCTGAAGCTTTCGCTTAAGAAAGGCAATGTCTTTATCTTTGTACTCTGGGTGGTTTTGCTCAAAATGATGAGCATAATTAAGCAGGTGCTAAAGAACAGTTTGGCAATATTTTCTTGCCAACTAAGCATTGTGCTTAGGTATAATTTTATTTTTGGCACTCGTGAATCCAAATTTTAAGTAGCTGTCGTTATATTTTCTTTGAGAAGATTCGGTAGCATTTTGTGCTTTTCTTTTACTGGTCTGCTATTTGAGGAGCAGTAGATTCAACATAAGCAGGATTTTTGCTCAATCTTGGAGTAAACACTACTACAGATTTCAGCAAAGGACACAGTTTTGTAACAGCTCTTAGAATTAAATTTTTTTGGTATATCAGATTTCTACTGATTGAGAACACACACAATTATATTTAATTAAATTATATGTAAATAAGTTTTTCAAAATTGCCAAAATCATGTTCCTCTCATTTCACTCTTGCAATTATTTGGTAGTTAGAAGAAATTGCAGCTACTCCCATGAACACTCAATGCAAGCAAGCCTCACTTCAACCAAAAGTACAACCCCAGCTCTTGTGAGAATAGGGAACTATATGGAGCACTTATCAAAATAAATTCGGTATTGCACTTTGATCAATATGTCAAGTCAGTGTGAGGCAGCTTATCACTAGGGGAGAGAGGAATGGGAGAATATGGAAGGAGAGGAACAGCAGAGAGCAGTGGCCATCTTGGATTGGGTGATTCATGGAGGATCCCAAATAATGTTCTCGCAGAACACCAATTGGGAAACGCTGCCCTATTAGGTGTGAAAATAAAGCCCTTTTCAAGCCATTTGTTTCTTCATCCTTAAATTGATGGGACCACAGTATGGTCTAACCAAGCAAAGACTAATCGCAGGAAAATAAGCAGGTGGGATGTGATTGTTCCACTTAAAGGCTAGGTGCAGTACAAGTGTATTCATTATGAAATGTGTTCAAAATACCCAAAACTTTTACAAAGTTCTTACAAACTTCAGATATATGGATGCTCTTAAATATAAAACAAAGTAGAGTATAAAACAGACTAAATGACAAGGCAATGGTTAAAAGTAGAGAAAATGTATTTAGCTAAATAGCAAAATATCTAGTTATAATCTCCCCCCCAAAAAAAGTGAACATCAGCAGGAAATTACTTGCATTCATTAGATCATTTCAGAGCAGTTTTTTGTGTACCAACACAGAGGTGTAAGGTCAGTCACTAAGCTTCAGGAAGCACCAGCTCCATTTGTAGAACACATGTTAATACAATGGACATCTTTTCAAGCCAAGTGCCAAAAATCAGACTGATACAGCATTTGAGTCCATGTGCTTTTAACATCCGGACTCCAGGACGGATTCACAGACTAACCAGGATTATGTATTAACCCAACAGCTGGTAATGGACAACAACCCCCAAAAAAGAGGGGCAAAGTACAGTGTGGTGGCAGCAGTATGGGAAAAGCTGGACACTGGGAATGGTGACGATTAGTGCAATGAGTTCTTTCACATGTTTCTTCTGCTCACAAGCTACTAAACACTTCTTTTCTCTTGTTCCAGTCCATAGGTGGTGCTTTTTTCTGTGAGCGTTTTTGGTGAGCACGCTCCTTTGCTACAGCCAGTGACATATTCAGGTCTAGAAGTGGATCAACGGAGGCCTCAGTACTCAATGTACGCTTGGGAGAAGAATCTTGCACATCCTGAAAAGAAATAACCAATTTATCATCACAAAATAATTAAAACCGCAATTAAACTCCCAAGCAGTGACAGCCATGCTTTACACACCAAAACCATAGCATCTTCTCAAACTACACATTAATAGTCTACCGACCAACACCATTGCAGTGAAAAGTTAAAGGAGCACTGTAAGCACCAAGGGGTCCAGGGATGTGTAACTACTTAAGGGACATTGTAGTCACCAGAACAACTTTAGGTTAATGAAGCAGTTTTGGTGTATAGATTATGCCCTTTCAGTCTCACTGCCATCTAGAAGTTAAATCACTTTGTTTATGCAGCCCTCCCTGCACGTGAGGCCTAAGCACTTCCTGTAAAGAGTCATCTAATGTTTAGGCTTCCTTTATTGCAAGACATTTAACACTTGTGCTACATTACCTTAGGTGTGTCCTCTGTGGGTGTTGAAACCTCAGGCTCGTAGACAGGGGAAGAAAGTGTGACTTCATTCTCCTGTTCATCTTCATTGACATTCTACAGAGGGAAAAGTATAATTAATACATTTTCCATAAACCCAGTCAATTGTAGTAAATTTTAAAAAAAGAGTTACCTTTTCCAAGCTCCCATTGACAATCTTCTCAGGCAAAGGTCCTGTGGAAAACAAAAGCCATTTAATACCATGTAAAAAGCACATAACTGGAAGCTTTTCTTGCAAATATCAGTTACCCAGACCACTTCATATTATGAATTGATCTGGGTGCACAGTCCTTTTAACCCTGCAATTCACCTTTTTTGGAAACTGAATGGTTTACATCCATACTTTCCTATGAGGAAGTTTAAGCACACTAGAAAAAGGACAAGTAACTTTTAAAAGCAGAGGGGCAGGGACACTAGCAATGGGAATACAGATTTGTATCTCTAAAGTGAGAGTATTCTTTTAATTTATATTTAACTTAAATGAACAAGCATGACAGCCAGAACAACCTTAAATGGGGAACAACTTTTGCTAGGTTGCAAATATGTAGTTAGTGAGTGTATAGTGTTGCATTTACTGTCAAACTTACTACAGACAATAAGCTTTTACATGGGTGTTCTTTACCTTCTGGTTTTGCCACATCATTTTGGGCAAACTACACACTTCTAGTTTTACACTAAATTAATTATGTCTATCATGATCTCAAACGCATGCAAAATACACACACTATATCAACTTGGTAAAAGCTAGCCAAGTAGCATTTGTTCAATGTTCTACCAAGGAACAGAGATTCCATTTTACAGTTTCCAAGGATTGTGGGAAAGCACCAAAAGGAAACCAAATTCTTGTACAGGCTCCCAAGTTTAGGAAACTGACAGATCAGACTATTCTTTCTGACCTTTGGCACACATTGCTGCACAAGAGTCAAAGCAGCTTAACAGCAGATGCTTCAAGCCTTTGTTTAAGCAGTCTCATTAGAACCCTTTTTCTTGGAAATGGATTCCACAAAGACTGGAAAATATAGAATGTTGCACTGAAAAAAAAGTGAATCACTTGAGGGGATTAGCATATGTTTCCACAGTAACTGGGGGAATGGCCACTGGAAGTGTAGCATTAAGCAGTCTCAAAATACAAGCATTAAGCATGCAAGATTTAAATGGACTTTGCTCAAATGGACAAACTACCTTATTCTAAAAAGTCAATTATTACACATTTTTCAGATCTGACCTCCAAGTCCTACTTAAAAGTATACTAAAGGCACCATAACTTTATTGCAATGTATGGTGTGAGAAGGTCCTGTCACAGTAATAAGAATTTAGGATTAAACCTTTTTAATAGCTTAACTCATTTAGTTGAGATGGCACTGCCCCTCAGTTTACTCTGATGGTCCAAGGTTTCAGTCAAGAGCCTTAGACTAGGAACTGCTGATACAGTATCAGCCGACAGCGTCTCACTAGCTCCCCACTCAGAAAACCAAGTAAAAAAGGAATCTAACAGGAAGGCAGTGATGGGCTGCACCTGATTGAAATTTAGATTTATCCATGTGTTAAGCAGCATTATCCACACATGGCATGCTAAGAGAACTACAAAGGGAGAGGGAACCAAATCCAGACAGACAAGGAGACTAAAAATTAGCAGAAATCCTGCTTTGTTGCATCAGGAACAGCATCTTAAATTCACCTAGACTACATAAACAATTAAAGTGGTATAGTGTAGCAGCACTGTCCTTCTAACTCTGCAATGTAAAATATTTGTTATTTTTAGCAACAGCAAAGTGTACATTGCAAGGTAAATCCACCTCCAGTGGCGGTCACCCTGACTGTCAATGTAGCAGATGTGCCACTAGTGACTGAGTAAAACACTCATCTAACATTGAAAAATACAATTCTTTCCTTCAGAGAATATTACATTCATTAGGACCCCAATACTCATTAAGCATCCAAAAAATTATGCAAACTTTTAACCTTTAACAATTCTCTAAAAACCTCAGAAGGTAGACACTTCAATCCCTAGAACCACTATAGCATTTCTGGGACATATAGCCTGTCCCTGCAGGCTGAGCAATGTAAAACCACTGCATTTTATGAGAGAAGTTAAAGCGGCACGCTCATGGGCGAATCCAGTTTTTTTTTAACCCCCCGGACTCCACTATATCAAGTTGTACCCTTAGTCGCCCACAAACCCCCATATTTACCTATTTCTGCATTATTTTGTGCCCTGACCTATGTCCTGGGTGCTGCCATCTTTGTGTGGCAAGAAGTTCCTGTGGGACATGTCATCTGCCCACACTTGATAATGCTGTGAAATTCCTGTGCATGCGAACACGAATTTCATCTATTAATTTGTCATAAAGATGAATAAATGAATAGAAATGTCAAACGAATGAAGACCTCTTCGTTTGGTCGATTTGTTACAAGGAGGAAGCTACCGGCATGCAGCTCCCTCCTTGTAATATGTACAAGCCCCCACAATGTCTTCCCTCACTTAATGGGGGTCAATATAACCTCATAACAGAATAAGGGAGATTAAAATCTCCCGAATTCCCTTAGATGCTATGCTGTGAGTAGGGGCATGTCTACTCAGTGACCAGCCAGAGGCTGCTCAGTTGTAAAAAAGCCCCCTAATGTCCCCCTTGTCCCTACCCATCAGCAGCAGGTGGGGGCCCTAAATGAAAATGAGGGACCTATTGTCCTTCCCCTGGCCAGCAGCTGGGAGCCCTAAATGAAAATGGGGTGGACCTGGTGTCCACCCAAGCCCACACCATTGAGTAGCAGGTGAGTGCCATAAATAGGGGTGGCCTTTAGCAGACATGCCCTACTCATGATATCAGCATTTTGGAAGATAGCTCCCCGATACCGTGGGAATTAGCGAGTTCTCTACTAGGCTGCAAATCTCGCGGCACAAATCGAAATTTTCATTAGAGTGAAATTTCAAACTGACCTAAAAGTACTGAATTGCATCCCAACATGAATGAACAAACTGCTCATTCTGTTATGACAATTCTGTAGTTTTGCCGGCGTCCTGTCTAAATGACAGGACGTTCTGGAATACTGACAGGAAGCATTGCAATATCACAGAAGAAAGGATGATTGTGGGAAAGTGTCTGACCCACAGGAAACGGGGCACACTATGCTCCTCTGCTGGTCATAGATGGTCAAGCGGAGGAAACCTCCATAAGACAAACTAGTCCCTACTTTGCTCTAGTTTTCTTTAAAACTAAAGACAAAGAAATTAACAAATCCTGACCGAGGGAGAAGAGGAATTAGACAAGTTGGGCATGAGAGTCCTGCTTTAATTTACACTACTCCATAATGCCACCTCTCATGGCTGTCACTGCAGCAACCACTAGAGGAACTTCCTGAGTGCAGTCCCACTCATGTGCAGTACTAATACATGCACTTGTATAACCAAAGTGCTGGTGAGACAAGTATTTTATTACTACTACTGCAATCACCAGTTCTTGTTTACAACTTTATTTTACAAGGGAGAAGGAATGAGGAACTTTTACTTTCAGAGAAGAGAGTTCTGCTTTAATAGGATATATGCTGCGTGGTGAGGAAACACCCATTTCGAATACTGCGAGGATAGCCAGTGACCTTTAAGATATTTGAAATCCATAATCAGTATGGGTGGCAAACGCACTAAGTGGTAAAATGGAACCAAGATTCCCTGTACAGATACAAATAGCATTCTGAATTGCCAATTTGTGTATGTGTACACACACTATATGTATATAAGCTACATAATCTATGTTTGTGGAAAAAGCTGCAACAAGTTTAACCTTGAAGCACATTTTATCCTGTCTCAAAAAGGAAAAATAAATTACAGCCATTTCAAATTATGCCACAAAAAGGGAAACAAATACCTCTGGACTGACTGCAGTCAGATTTCTTCAATCGAAAACCCGTTTACATGCATATCAATTAGATCCTTGAAAATTCCGTTTATGCAAAAAAGTAGCAAAGCTTTTTTATCTATAGAATCTGATAACTGCTTTAGGCAGAAAATTGCACATTCTGGTTCTTCCTGTAAATGAGACTTTCCTCTGCAAGTTAAGACATCTTTACCAGTTTCGAAAGGTGATCTCATGTCTTGTACATTCCTGCTATTGCATATGTTGGCACCTAAGTTTGCTCTGACCCAGTATATGTGTAGGGCCATCATATGCCCTCCAAAGGGCCTTCTAAACCAGACAAATCCAGTTTTTCTAGCATCTGCATAACTAGTTTTCCACCCCCTATAGTAGTTTTGTAGCTCACTTCTGCAAAGTCCTTTACAACTAGTGATTCTACAAGCCAGCCTTGAGTCGTTCACCTTGCAGGTGCTCTCTTCCAGGTGCTACACCACATTCTTTGAAGAACAAGTCAGTCTCTGGATCCACAACAAGCAGAGTAGTTTCTTCCCCTCCTGCCTTTATGGAGCTCACCACATCGCTGTGCAGTTTTCCAATCATGCTGACTCCGTTGACCTGCAAGATAAACCATGACATCAGTGCAACAGAACTAATTTGTGCAAAATACAAAATATAAACAAACAGTCCATATTAGTTAAGCTGCCAAATGTGAAGCATTTTCAACAGAAGTTGCCAAACTGGATTATCACCAATACTGCACTAACAGATGGGAGAATTCCCATCAAGCTACACCAAATAAAAGGGACACTTAAGGGACCTTAAGATTGCACAGAATGCAAAATTCCCTGTTTTACACAAGCTGCTGTCCCATTTATGTCACCTATAGACAAGATAGTTTTGAGTTGAAAAAGTATATTTAGCATTTTACAATTATAAACAATGAGCACATGCATTGCATCTGTAATTGGAAGGCCTGTTGTAAATATGACAAACTGCTGGTTAGAGTTTAAAGGAATTCTTGAATTACCAAGCAGAAAGCTGCAGAAGTGATATTATAGCAATCAAACCATAAATTCTTCTGATAGAGAAGGTATTAAAACAGCCATCCAACCTTTGTCAGAATTAAAAATGCAAATGCATATCCTAAACAGTCAGGCTTGAATCCACTAGCTTTAATAGTACAGATTTTGTGCCAGGGTATAATCACACCTCTAGCTAACTGACTATGGAGCCCAGAATGCCATGTCAGACTGCCCAGTGTGACTTTTGTACAAAAAAATTATATAGCATGCTCATGATGGACGCAAGCAGGCAGTGCTGTGAACACAAATTTAAAGTGACGCCTGTAAAATAGTGCATGCTGCTCATGTGCACATAGTCCCATAGTCTGCTTGTATAATCCAGACTTTCAGTTTTGCTCTACCTATACAATTCCTTTTGTCCAGCCCTCCTTGCCTTCTAACCCTGAACTTAAATTTCCCAGAGCAGCCCTCCATACCTCCCCACTGTCCAGCCTTTCATCCCTGCTTAGACTTCAGGTGGCAGAGAAGCATTTGATTAGATCTAGGAGCAAAAAGTTATAACAGCATGATGTAGGCACAAAAGCTTTGGGGAGAACTTTGTCCTGGCTCTCAGTTTCAAGTCTTTGGCATTCGTTTTGTTTCTAAAGCTTTTTTAAAGACATTAGTTAACCATGTAAAATTAACACTGGTAATTATCTGGAAGGAAGCAATTAAAGCAGCTCTGTTCTCTTACAAAGAGCACATTGCTCTTGAAATTGGCACTTTGTCAGGCTGAAGTGCTCCTTTAACATCCCCTGTTTTATAAGTCTCTAGCAGCCATCAAAACATTAGAGGCAGTGTTTGACAAAAAAAAAGGTACAGTCTTCATGTTCAGTTAAAGAGCTACTCCCAAGCCCCATGATCATTTCTGTGACTTGGGGTTGTCATGGTGCCTGGAGTCTATGGGCAACTTTCGATTGAAATGCTAACTCCACCTCCAACAGCATCACTGGTGAGTCAGATAACCTGGAATATGATTTTTAGGCTGGCTAATGTTAAAGGGACACTATAGTCAGCAGAACAACTTTATCTTAAAGTGCATAGACCATGCCCATGCAGTCTCACTGCTAAATTACCTACAATTTAGGAGTTAAATCAGTTTGTTTATACAATTCTAGTCACAAATTCCTGCACGTGACTTGCACAGCCTTTCTAAACACTTCCTGTATAGCGTCATCTAATGTTCACACTTCCTCTATTTTAAGTTCTGTTTAACTTTGAATTTCTCATCACCTGCTTTGTTAATAGCTTGCAAGACCGAGCAGGAGCCTCTTGAATGTAATTAAAGTACAATTTACAAAGCATGAGAAAAACCTTTAAAGTTAGTTGCATCAGATTGAAAATGAAATAATTTTGTTTTCATGACAGCTGTGTCTATCACAGCCAGTGGAGGTGTGGCTAGGGCTGCATAAAACAAACAAAAGTGATTTAACTCCTAAATAGAGAATTGAGCAGTAAAGCTACAGAGGCATGATATATACAGCCAAACTGCTTCATTAGAAGACCACTATAGGCACCCAGACCACTTCAGCTTAATGAAGTGGTCTGTGTGCCAGGTCCAGCTAGGTTTAACCTTTTTGCAGTAAACATAGTTTCAGAGATTTGACAGCCTCTAGAGGCGCTTCTGTGCTGCTCACCGATTTTCACAGTGAGAAGACGCCAGCATCCATAGGAAAGCATTGATAATGCTTTCCTATGAGACTGGCTGAATGCACGCGACTCTTGCCGCACATGTGCATTTAGCCGATGACGGAAGAGGGAGGAGACTACCAGCGCCTAGGGAGCCCTGCGCTGACAAAAAGGTAAGGAATTAACCCCTTCCTCCCACTTCAGCGCCATGGGAGTGGGGCACTATAGTGGTCCTTTAAGCTAAAGTTGTTTTGGAGACTTTAGTGTCCCTTTAAGTCTGCATATTCCTATACACAATATTGCACCGACTAAGTCAATGGCCAGGAGGATAGACTTCCTACTTCTGCAGACAGGATGTCATCACTGGCTGTAGGCAAGCTTCTGAGCCTGGTGGGGAAAAAACGTAAGGGTAACACAAGTTTAAGTTACAGGGATAATGCTGGCATCAAAACCAATAGAGCAGGCGGTAACCCTTTTAGTACAAGGGGTAGTTGGCACATATGCACAGTAGAGCCTTAAGTTATTTTACAAGGTGTAGCAATCGATTGAGCATAAATCATCCGGATGATTTTCTCAAAGCAAGTTATACATTACTTTAAAGTTCCCAAGAGAATTTAATATAGCCTGATGCTCTTCAGTGAAGACACCTCTTCAGTGAAGGACACAAGAGTAAAAATCTTAAGCACTTTTTCTATGTTTCTCTATGAATTTAGAGGCTAAAATAGCCATTTCCGTAGAAGTTAGCAGGATTATAACCTTCTAAAAGCACCCTAGCTGCAAGACACTACCAGTAAGCCAAGTGAGGGCAGGCACACTAGTCTATAGATTGCCTCCTAAGGCTTAAAGGACCACTATAGTGCCAGGATAACTCGTTTTCCTGGCACTATAGTACCCTGAGGGTGCCCCCACCCTCAGGGTCCCCCTTCTGCCCGGCTCTGGAAGGTGGAAATGGGTAAAAACGTACCTTTTCCCAGCGCTGGGCGGGGAGCTCTCCGCCTCCAATCCTCACAGTTGGCTGCATGCGCGCCATGAGCTGCGCGCGCAGCTGGTCGCATAGGAAAGCATTATCAATGCTTTCCTATGGACGCTTGCGTGCTCTCACTGATTTTCACAGTGAGAATCACGCAAGCGCCTCTCAATGAGACAGCCACTAGAGGATTTGGGGGAAGGCTTAACCCATTCATAAACATAGCAGTTTCTTTGAAACTGCTATGTTTATAAAAGAATGGGTTAACCCTAGAAGGACCTGGCACCCAGACCACTTCATTAAGCTGAAGTGGTCTGGGTGCCTAGAGTGGTCCTTTAACACTTAGGTCCTTGAGAATTCTGAAGTGTGCAGCTACACCAGAGGATTCTTTATTAGAAGGCTCTGACTGGTCAAGTCACTGGCTTGCAGTTGCTGTAGATGGAGCTGCAACTATTGTAAGCCAATTTTTCTTAAATATCTGCACATTTTCTTTGGAAGCATTTCCCTTATTATCCAAGACAACACATTTAGTTACAATTGTGTGTTCCTTTAAATGTAACATTCTCCAATGCAATTGGCTCTGTCAGGGAACACTGACAAGCAGGACACAACTTCCCCACCATGCTGGTACACTGGCTGGATTGCCAGAGTATTTGCATTGGGACAGTGAATCCACTTTTAGCAAAGCACAAAATGTCCTGTAGCAGTGATGGAACAGTACAGTTTGTATCTATCCTAATGAACAGAAAATACACATTTTATATTGCGACAAGCACAATCAATATTTATGCTGTGTAGAGTGTATGACAGCCAAATTAACATATTTACATTGGACATTCTTTAAAATACCTCTATAATGCGATCTTGGGGCAGGAGTCCAGCCTTCTCTGCAGGAGAGTCGGGGTCAATTGCTCTTACAAACTGTCCAGGCTGTGTTTTGTCACTGTGCAAGTTAAATCCATATCCATTAAGCCCCTTTTTCATGGAACACAGTCGAGGACGTAGATCCTTCTAAATACAAGGAGAGGTTACCAAGTGATCATTATGTCTGATTTCATACTCTGCAGTGGAAAGGGTCTGCCATCAAGCATACAAGACTCCTTTAATACAGCCGGCTATAACTATAGCTCTAAAGTTGCTATTTCATCACAGCAACACCTTATGAGTGACAACAGGGAGAGTGATATGACAGCAACCCATTTCAAAAGTTTTTTTTAGGTGAATATAAATCACCACTGTTTAGAAGTGCCAAACCCCTGGCAGGGAATTGGCTCTGTCTATGGGTGATCCTGCAGTCTGATTCATAGACCTCAGTGGTGTACTCTAGTCTATGCGAGACTACAACAGAGATGTTTGTTCTTGGCGCTGAAGAGGACCCACCAGAAAAAGATTGCTGCACCCATGAGGGACTGGTTCAGGTAGGTAAGACTCCCTTTTACCCCCTTCCCCAAGCAATGACAGTCAGGGCTCTTTGCAGAATTCTGCAGTTAGCAGCAGGTGACAGTTGCTTTAAAAGATCACACAATATCCATTAGAGCAATATGTCATTTGGTACTAGCACAAACCACAATGTGTCAGCAGATAAACTTTTGAACTGTTTTTTTCTGCTCATGCAGGTCAACAAGAAATGTAGGAGCCAAAGTTAATATATTGGCTGAGAGGGGGAAGTATAGGCAAACAGGCCAAGTTATTAATGTACAGCCTAAAAGTGAGACTCTCCACAAGCCTCAGTTTTAAAAAAGGCTTGCCTGTTTAGCAAACATTTTAGATATTATAAAATTCGCCAAAGTCCCATGACCTGGCTGCGACTAACAGGCCAAAAAGCAAGACCTTGCCCCGCACTTCATACCTGCCATCTTTAATTTTTATTATTAAATCGAGCAACAGTTAAGCACTAGCAATAAAGCAATTGAGCAACAGTTCCTCGCCAAATGTCTGAGCATGCCAAGAAGTTTAATCCAAAGCCTATTGTGAGCTAATGGCTAGCCATTAACCCTTTGAGTGGCAGAAGTACTCAGACTCCAGATTTAGTAGGCATTTACAAGCCCAGATATAAGAATTCCACTTTACAAGAAAAAAAATTTTTTTTTTAAAAGTGTCCTACCTTTTCAACTGCAGGTGTTTCCAAGAGTGCAGGAATCTATTAAAAATAAAAAAAAAAGAGACACTTACAGGCCAGTAAAAAAAAGTAAGAATTTTAAAGCAATATTTATGACAATATAAAGTTTTACATGATAAAAATCAGGCAGTCAGGCAGCACACACACCCAGTGCACCACGTCACCTATAGACTTGCATGAAACAATTGTAACAGCCTGAGGGCTTGATTTCCGCTACTGGGAACCTCAAACAACCTGCTCTGATACACAGATTAGAAGAGAGGGCCCCAGCCCAGGGGCCACACAGACTGACCTGAGCGTCACTGGCCGTGTTGTTATTATTAGTCGCCACTTCTGGCTCCTCCGCGGCTCTCTCCACTTCCAGAACCAGCTGTTCGGTGGAAGCCCGGATTCTGGCGACCACCTGCTGGTGTGGCAGCTCCCGCACGTTCTCCCCGCACACCCGGATTATACGGTCGCCCGCTCGCAACCCTGCTTTATCTGCGGAGGAGTCGGGCTCCACCAGGCGGACGAACTGTCCCGGGCGACCCTTTTCGGTGTGAAGATGGAAACCATAGCCCGAGGGGCCTTTTTCCAACACGCAAGTTCTCTCCACTGTAGACATAGCGAAGCGCTCACCTCCCCGAGCAGATTAAAACTTTGCGATCGGAAACGCTTTACTTATATTGTTCGCGGGCGGGCGCCGGGGCGACTGGCGACCTGGCGAGCCAATCCCGCAGCAAAGAGATAGCGCTGCGGCGCTCTGATTGGCCGCCGTGTTCTGAGCTTATAGGAATGACGTCAGAGTAGAACTGCACTCCCAGAATTAAGTTTAATCAGAGCGAACGCTGCATGTGACCTTAGTAAATAACACCCAGAAGGCGTGACCCGACCTGTCTAAATTGTATTATGACCCTCTACAAAAAACACGTTATTTTATTATGGCTCATATCTAATAATTAACTGCTCTAAACTTGTCATTAAGAATATATCGATTTTTATACTTTTTTTTTTTACTCAGCTTTTGTTTCTTTTTTATTTAATTTTTTTTTATTGCTTGGATATTGGAACATGTGACTGAAACAGTTTAATGATAAACTATTCTTATCAACATCAAACGGTAGCGCCTTGTGGTGAAAAAATAATATAAAAACAAAACACAGGGGTTTATTCACTAAACTATGAATTGTAGCAAACTGAAATCGGAATGGTTAAACTGATGCAAATTAACAAAGTTGTGACAATAGTTGGGTTGAATTTTTTTTAAATTTTTGTCCAAACCAGTTGTTTTCACATAAATTTTGCAATTATGAATTTAATCTGCTGCAGTTCGGATAATTAACTAGTTGCTCTTATGGGTATGATGAGCCCTAAAAGATTATTTAATTTATATATAGATATATACAGGAATAAAGGATGCACTCATAGGTGTTTCAGTTTATACACATATTTTCATATATATCTATTAAAAAATATATTCCACATAAATAACTCTCGCACACTGTACCATAAATGTAAGAGGGTATTTCGGTGGAGTGTCACAACGAGGTTTATTCACTAAACTTTAATTTATATTGAATTAAGATTAGAATGGCAAACTTTTAGCCAAAGTCTTTATTTTGTCATTGGATTTTTAATCTGCAACAATGCAAACTTTAGTGAACAGCCTGGGGCAGAGATATATTTAACCCCTTAAGGACACATGACATGTGTGACATATCATGATTCCCTTTTATTCCAGAAGTTTGGTCCTTAAGGGGTTAAAGCGGCACTGTCTGGGGACTTTGACGAATTTGCAAAGACCCCCGCGGTGTCATTCATTGCCGCCGGTGGTCGGGGGGAGTTAAAGGTGAGATTACTTACTTGAACCTGCCATTCGCGGGTGCCACCATCTTTCTTGCTCTGCTCCTCTTCAACGGAGCCGACATCACTGCTGTATTCTCGCACATGCGCGACTACACCATTGAAGTCTATTGGGGATCCCGCATTCCTCCATACACACATCCAATTCCCTGCAGCCGTCACTGGTGACTGCAGTCGAGATGGACTCTTACACTCCACCCTGAGTCTAAGAAAGTCAGGCGGAGGAGAAATTAAGAGACAAAGTAGTCCCTACTTTATCTCGGTATATTTCTTGAGTCTATCTTTATGAAATACAAATTTTTTAGGAAGGGGTGACAGTGCCTTTTTAAGATTTGTGCTGCCCTAGGTTTGACCTCACTCAGCTAAACTTCACTGGAAATATAGGTTTGTTTGTTTGTTTCTGCATTCAAAGATGGAGGGAGACAAGATCAGTGACAATCTCACTGACACATATGCAAAAGCACACTTAAACACACAGATAGGCTCACTGACAAACAATTTCAGTGGCACACACAGACACAAAATTACTCCAGACAAGTTCGCTGACACATGCAAGTTCATCAAGCTCCTTAAAGGGACACTATAGTCACCAAAACAACTACAGGCTTTTTGCTGTAAACACTGTCTTTTCAGAGAAAATGCATTGTTTACATTAGTGATAACTTCACTGGCCACTCCTCAAATGGCTGTTAAAGATCCTTCCTGGGTCATGGCTGCCTAAAATGCATCCAAACATTCAGTGTCTCCTCCCTCTGCATACAGACACTGAACTTTCCTCATAGAGATTCATTGATTCAATTAATCTCTATGAGGAGATGCTGATTGGCCAGGGCTGTGTTTGAATCATGCTGGCTCTGCCCCCGATCTGCCTCTTGTCAGTCTTAGCCAATCCTATGGGGAAGCATTGTGATTGGATCAGGCCACCACTTCTGATGATGTCAGCAGGCAGGTTTTGACTATTGACTATTCTGAGTCAAACAGCATGCAGAGCTACAGCTTCAGGCTTGAATAAAAGTAAGATTTTGCTAATTTTAGGGAGACATGAGGGGCCTAGGGGGGCTAGATGGTGGTTTTAACACTATAGGGTCAGGAACACATGTTTGTGTTCCTGACCCTATAGTGATCCTTTAAGCAATCAATTGGTCATGCAATATAAGAAGAAAGTAGGAGCCGGAGGGGATTCTGGGGCTTAACCTGGCAATATATTTAGGGCCACACAGGAAGGTGCTAAGGGTGTGAAAGAAGTGGGTGGCTGCTTCAGAAGCAACTGCTCAAGGTTTTTTTGTTACAGTTTAGAAAACTGGGCTGGCAAAAAGGATTTAAATGGAAGTGTAGATACCCCATATCAGTACATGCCTGGCCTGGTGCCTCAGGGGGAGCACTTGCCCTGTTCCTCCTCCCGCTGGATGTGACCCTGGTATGGGCTATGTAGGATTTAGAATTGTGTGATTACAATACAAATTATCAGATTAAAGGGACACTATAGTAACCAAAATAACTTTAGCTTAATGAAGACATTTACGTGTATAGACCATGCCTCTGAGGTCTTACTGCTCAATTCTCTGCCATTTAGTATTTGAATCACTTTTGATTCTTTTTATGCAGCCCTAGCCACACCTCCCCTGGCTGTGACTCATACAGACTGCATGAAAAAAATGTTTCACTTTTAATCAGATTTTAACTAAGTTTAGAAGTTTATCCCTGCTCTGTAAATCTAACCTGCTCACATACATAAGCCTCCTGCAAGGTCTAGCAGGCTATTAACAGTGCAGGTGATAAGGCATTCCAATCTAAACAGACTATGCAATAAAGTAAGTGGAAACATTAGATCTCTTTTTATAGGAAGTGATTAGAAAGGCTGTGCAAATCACATGTAGTGGCTAGGGCTGTATAAACACAGTGATCTAACTCCTAAATGGCTGAGAAATGAGCAGTGAGATTGCAGGGACATGATGTATACACTAAAACTGCGTCATTAAGTTAAAGTTGTTTTGGTGTCTATAGTGCCCCTTTAAAATTGTTCATATCATTACACCACAACATTTGCACTGTATTCATTTCAGTCATTGCATAGCAAAACATAATGTCACTTGTTGCTACAGTGCAAGGCTCAACATTATAACTCATGCTGCAACCCTCTCATCCTTAGTATGTGGGGGTGCTGCAGATAACAGGCTTAAGAATTGTTGGATAGGGGGGTGGATCCAAAAGAGAAGGGACAGAACCCACACTAACAGGCCCTGATTGGTCATTGGTCAGTCGGGGTAAATATACAGTGGGCAACAAGGGGTTATGTCCAGCCAAGGAGATCAGAATAGCTAATCAACTAACCCACCTCTTTTTGGGGTAAATGTTTTTTTCACCATGTACCCTGTTGAAGGCTACTTTACTGTATTATTTTTGCTCCTGATAGTCACCTCATCATTGAGAGATATGACATAATGATTATAATCTCATGCCCAAGCCCCTTGTAAGCAGACGCGCTATCATCACATGCTTTAACTACTGAGAGTTCAGCCATGTTGCAAGTATAATGGGTGTGTCATTTGGGGCCGGGAAGAGAGGACAAAATGGTGGAGTGTTGGAAGTCATGTTAAGAGTCACAAAACGGAGATGGCACTAAGCTCAGACATAATAATAAATTTTGGGCAGACATGTAGTGGGGACGTCTCTGTATGACATTGACATTTAGCAAAAATGCGCAGCAGCATTCACAAATATTATCACTACACACACATACCATGCTTTAACACACAAATACATTCCACACAAATAGAAAACTGCATTTACAAACCTTTCATTCATCCCTGCATTCAAACAGTCACACTAAATACAAATACAGCCATGCATTCACACACAAATGCAATATACACAAATGTATCCTTATATTTACGCATACTAACACCACGTACAAATACACACATACTAATACTGATACTATATGTGCATATGCACACTCAAATAAAAATGAGAATTCACACTATACACACATAAAATACTCTTGTGAATGTATTCATTAAACTGTGGCTAGGTAAGTGTGAGGTTTGCAAAGAATTGACAAAGGAAATGCAAATTTAGGCCACATGCTGGTAAAATAGCTGAGATGGGGACTTTTTCTCACACAAGCTATTTCAGCGAGAACCTTAGCTTCCTAACCTCTGCATGAGAAATACAGCAATCCAAGATTATTGGTTAAGCCTTCTTTGGACCTTGTCATTGAGGTGTACCTGATGTCCCCCTAGGCGTAGTTAGCAAGGAGGTCTAGATTACCATTTTAACAGAGGGAGACCCTAAGCAAATGCACTGAAGCAAAAACATAAGATGAGAATACTAAGAACCAGCAAAATTTTAAAAGGATACTATAGTCACTAGAACAACTACAGCTTAATGTACTTGTTCTGGTCAATATACTCATTCCCTGCAGGCTTTTTGCTGTAAACACTGCCTTTCCAGAGAAAAGGCAGTAATGACCTTAGTGCCTAGGAACACCTCTAGTGGCCACTCCTCAGACAGCCACGAAAAGTGCTTCCTGGGGCAGTGCTGCACAGTGTGGTTAATGTGTTGTGTAGCGGTTAATGTTTAGTAATAGGGTAGTGTGTTAGAATTATGTAGGGGATAATGTGTAGCATAGTGTGTTAGGGTTAATAGTTATTGTAGTTTGTTATGGTGGTGTAGGGGACTTGAAAGGGCAGCACTGGGACATTAATGTTCCCATGCTGCCTGAGATTAGTGGGAGTGGCAGTCTTCAGCCGCAGCTATTTCAACTGCTTTCCTTTAAATGCTGGCAGTTGGTGTTCATTAGTGTAACACACACTAATCATGGCAGACCTCGACATTTAGGAGTAGGTTAGGGTTCCCAAACTGTACAGAGAGGATACGTGGGG